ACACACCCCTCCTTACCTGCTTCAGGCTTCCCGCGAATTAAATGTTCGCAGGAAGCAGGGGAGGGGGCGGAGACTTTGGGAGGGGGCGGAGTTGGGGTGGGGGCAGGGCTGGGGGCGGGGCCGGGGCCCCCAGGAGTGTCCTCCATTAGGAGGCACAAAATATGGTAACCCTAGACCAGGCCCACCCTCTCCTCTGGGCTCAAGTCCAGGGCCCAAAGGTGGACAGCTACATCCAACATCTTGTGGTTCTAAGCTGCTGCACTGGACCACTTCCTACTCTTGTCTCCTTCAGCTTCCCAGAGTAAATCACTCCAATCAAGTCTCTGACCCACACACTCCGACCCCTGCTTCTCCTTTGTGCGTTTGCACAGGTCTTGCTGTCGGTACTCCTGGGCAGTCATTTCCCCTCAGAGCAGCCGTCTGCTCCCTTCCACTGCCCGTCTCTGAACTGCTCTATCCCCCTTTTTACAGCCCTGCCTCCAGCTTGTGCAGGCTTTGGGGCTGCCTTTGCCCAGAGCTGTTCCTTAATCCCTTACTCTCCAGTGTGGAGTTTGTACACCCAATCAGAGGGCCTATCCATAGAATAACCCAAACAAAGAACCCAGATCTGAACTCCCCTGAACTCAGGAGTGCTTGAGAGCCTGACCCAGAGCTGGCTGACGCTAAACCCTAGCAAGATAGAGGTAATGCTTGTTGGCAGCTGGAAACACTTTGAAAAGCAGGTAGCCAGGGTGCAGGTGCCACTGATTAAGGACGCAAACCCACAACTCATCACGTAGGTCTGAATTTTAAGAGTTCTTCTAGACTGACACCTAGCACGCACTGTGACTGAGGAAAGTATTCTGCCACCTCCAGCTGGCTAGGAGACTGCATCCACCTGGACTACAGCAATGTAATGTACTTGGGTTTGAAAGCACCAGTCCTGAGAAAATGGCAGTTGGGAAAACAACACAGACTGCCACCTGCACCTGCACTCTGCTCACTCCACTGGTTTCCTCCAGAATTCCAAGATCAGCATCTGTCCTCACAGTCTGGGGCTAGGACACCTTAAAGACCACCTCACACTCTGTCTGGGACCTTGACGGCCAGTCACAGTCCTAATGCCCTAGCAAAATGGAAATGTTTATTGGAAGGATGAAGCTCACCTGTGCAGAAAGACAGGGCTTTTCAGGGCTGACCAAAGGCTGTGGAACTCATTCCTGTAGGAACCACAAGCCACACCACTTTTTGGTTCAAATGCAAAGTGCATTCCTTAGCCCTTGCCTTAAAAATACCCATCGCACGTGAGCACATCAACTGAAATACCACCCTCACCCCAACCCCAACCACAGAGCAACTCAGATCCAATTTTCTCCCTGAGGAGGGGATCAGAAAGGGATCCATATTTGACAGATTCTACTCACTTTGTGTCATTTATCTTTTGAAAGGTACTCAGATACCTGATACAGTTACCGGTGTGGTGTAGCAACCTGGAAAAAACAGTAACATTTTGCAGTTTGTGCTCATCTTCACTCTGGTTATCTAGCCTACCTCATGGTGCAGGAATATTCCCTGTGGGGGGGGCATTTGTGAGTGTTTTGTCCAGTCTAGTTTTAAATAACTCCAAATGGAAATTCTGGCAAAAAATCAGAACTTCACACACCCATTCTCCCTGGCATTCAGCTATGTTCTTGACACACAGAACATTGGTACTCTTATACCATCCTTGGGGCCATACTATTTCTTTCATTAATATATTAGGTTATAGCAGAGTTCACCAGAAAGTTATGTAGAGATAGAGTCTGATAGTTTTTGGAAGGATGGAAGGCGATGTCCATTTAAATACTTTTTCCAGAGAGCAATGCAAATGGTTCTGAGCCAGTAAGACATTTGCGAGTTTCCCCTTTATAATTGCTTGACCTTAGTACTTTGCAGTAGGCAGGTAGGGACAGGAGCGCAACAATAATAATTTCTGGGTCTCTAGGGCTAGAAATTTAGTTCCTGTGGTACTCACTTAGGTGCTCCAACTTTTTTAAGGGAAAAGAAAGAAGAATCTGTCTCCTATCAGCATCTTGGGATGGCCTCAGAGTTGTCTGCAGTCCAGAGGTAAGTGATTTAGCTGCTGTCAGAGATGAAGAATAAGGCAAACATCTGGAGAGGCAAAAAAGAAATAGAAGATATGAAGCAAACCATTACATCTTGTGACAGAGCTGTACAGAGGCAAACCCATACCAGGCATATCACGGGGGAGTAATGGGGAGGAAAGGAGTGGAATAACACCTCCCCAAGACTGCAGACTGGCAGAGGCTGCTTAATGGCTAGAATAGCCACCTTGCCATCTCTGTCCACAGGAGAGAAAGACATGGGGATCCATTCAGTGGTGGATCCTCTGAGCCCACCCCCAAGCACCTTGTGTGCACTGCTACAGAAGGTACACCTGCAGAGTTGGAGCCTTGCCATGCAGGGAGTGTTTAATGTGTTGTGTAACTCCCACCACATCCTGCCGCCAAATTGTATAGCGGAACGGCTGTCAGGGGCCCTCCACACTTGCCAAGGTGGGACCAGGGCTTGCCCCTTATTAATGAAAATCTAAACCAGGTTACAACAAAGCTGAATTCAGCCCAGTTTCCTGAGCATTCACGTGGCCGGAAGCGCTGCTTCTGGACACATACCAACGGCAACATTTTATCTGGAAACAAATTTTTTAAGCTTTTTAAATTTAAAAAAAACCAGCATTTTGCAGCCCTTCTGTGACTGTGTGGTGTTACTCACTGTACTGCCAAGATGTGACACTGGCAGGATGTGAGCTCACTGGACAAGACTGTAGAGTAATTTCTGTCCAGTTTTAATCATGCTGACGATCAGAAGCCTCATCCTGTATTCTTTGCCCTCCCAGAGCTCCCACTGAGGCAGCTTAGGTAGTACAAGTCATGCAGGATCAGGTCCAAGAAGCAGAAATAGAGAGCCAAATTCAGAGCTGCTATAAGCAGCAGTTCTGCTCCACTCCACTGAGGTCAACGGAGTGGCTCTTGCTTACATCAGGTCAGAATTTGGCCAATAATGTTTAACCATTATCCATCTGCGATTTCAGTTGGATTCAATATTTCCTCTTCTTGCTTAAATGATTGTGTAACGTCACTGTGCAATATTAAACTGCTACCCCTTTTATACCATCAGTAGAGGATCAAGTCATTCCTGCAAGGAGCGAGTAAAGCACTTTGAACTACAACCTGGAGCCCTTACTCAGACTGTGTAGCCCTTTAGTCCTCATGTAGTCCCAGTGACACCCGTGGAGTAAAGTATTATTCAGCATGGGTACAGGTATCAGATTTTGGCCCTTTCGGATCCTCGGGATGAAAGCCATTATATGTGTATATTAGATATTATGAATGAGTCTGTTTAAATTATACGAGAATATGCCTTTTCTAACTGCAGGTTGCTAAAATTAAGTAATACTAATACTTTGCACTTTTCATTTGAGGACCCCAAAGCACTTTGCAAAGGTGGCTAAGTATCATTATTCCCATTTTACAGATGGATAAAGTGAAACACTGAGATTAAGCATCTTGCCCAATGTAGCAGAGTAAACCAAAGCTTTCTAATTCCCAGGGCCAAATTCTGTGCTGGTGTAAATTGGTGCAGCTCCACTTAAATCAGTGGAGATGTGCTGTGCTAATTTACAGCACCAATAGCTTGCTCTGAACTGCAGGCTACACTGTTTACCCTCTGTCGACATTGGGATTTTTTTATTATTGTTTTATTTTCAAAACTAGTTAAC